GTATTTTCCATGAATTTTTCTGCCTTTTCCGTGAATTTGTCTATTTTTTTCCTCATTTTTGTCTGCTTTTTGCTTCAACTCTTGGATAATTCTGAATATTAGAGATTTGAATTCCCTATCAGTTAGGTCTAGTGCCTTTTCTTCTACTGGAAGGTCATCTGGTGTTTTATTTTGGACGGCTACTGGAGCCATCCTGTCCTGTTTTTGTAAATGTTTTGATATTGTCTGCTGTCTTCGGGGCATTCAGTGGTTACTTGTCTCATTTATAGATTTTAGATTTGTTTGTTTCGTCCTGCTTTTTTTGTTTTATTTGGTTATGTCTGAGCAGGCGGGCTGTGCATTCTTCGTTGTTTGCTCGTCTGTGGGCATGATACTTTTCCCCTCCTCCAATGGCCAGGGTCAGTCACTCAGGTATGGTACAGCAGGGCAGGTCCAGCTGAAGGGGAGTTGCTGGGATACGTTTTTCGTGGCACATACCAGGGCTGACAGTGCAGACTGGGAATCAGTGCAGGGCAGGTTCCAGTAGGCCATGCCTGTGCTGCTTGGGAGTGTGATGTTCAGCGCACGGTGCAGGGAGGCAGGAAGGAGCAGATAGATTGTGATGTGTGGAGCTAAGATGGGTATGGGAAAGAGGAGAGAGGAACAGAAGCCAAAAAACATACACACAAACAAAAAAGAGTGCTATGGGAGCTTGCTATTGGAGTGGAGAGATGAGAGACTGAGAAATGGGGAAAAACAAAAATGGAAAAAAAAAAGGGTAAAAGAAAAAAAATGAATAAATCGAGAGACTGGAAATGAAGAAAGACAAAAAGGGAATAAGAGAGAGAAGAGAACAAAACAAAGAAACAAAAACGAACAAACAAACAGGAAACAGAAATGCCCCCAGGGATGTCCCTGTGCCTCTGCGCAGAGCACAGGAGCAGCTGCCAAGCCGCACGGTGCTGCCTGGCTAGAAGGGGCTCCCAAGCCGAGAAAAGAAAAAGAAAACAAGTCAAAACAGAACAAATCAGAGCAAACAAAGAAACAAACAAAAAAGCCCCAGGGGTCCCACCAGTGTGGCGGCACGGGTCAGGAAGCAGTTTCACAGTTGAGCGGTGTCTCGCAGCCTTTCAGGAAGAAGAAAAATGGTGCACGGAGCCAGGTATTTGAGAGAAAGGAGGGAAAGGTAGTGAGAGGTAAGGAAGAAATCTAAAGAAGCAGGAAAAAGCAACACCAGCAGCCAACAAAAGTCACTCAGGGAGCCGGCCAGTGTGGGCAGGTGGAATCCAAGCGACACCGGGTTGAAGCTGGTGGTTCCCAGCCAAGAGACTGTGGCTGCAGGACGCAGAGGAGGCTAAGTTGGGGAGAAGAAGGGTGGGGGTGGGAAAGCCTGTATCACTGGTTACCGACTGTTCTGTCTTCTGCTGGAAGCTCCGTGAAGCTGCTTTCTCGTATCCTCCGTTTGCTGATCGCTGATAGGAGTCCACGATGGCGTATCTGTGCTGCGTTAGCTGATAGGGGACCTCTGCATGTATCTCTCCTCGCTGTCTGTTCTCGGTCAGTTTCTTATTCCATTTGGTGCTTGGCTGAGGTCTTTACCTCTTTATTTGATGCTTAGGGTTTCAGGATTGACGTGTGACTCTGTTCAACTTAGTTTTTCTGATCTTTGCTGTGGAGGGACAGCGTGGTGCTTCTGTAGAGCTCATTTTGACAGGATAGTCAACGGGTTCAAAATGCCTGTCTTCTCAGTGGCTCCAGAATGCTGTGAGCCTTCCACGGGGATAGGCCGCTGTCCTCGGACATCAGGGAGGTGCCGGATTGCTGCCTGATGTTGAGGTTTGTCGACTGTTTTGTGTAATATATATTTACCATCACATCGTTCATGAATGGTCATAAAAACACTGGGTTTGACCTTTAAAATCCCTGGATTAAGTAAGAAAAGTAAAACACGTAGCAATATGTACTTTATGTCATAAAAAAAAAAAAAAGCTTTTCTTTTTCTCTGTACTCCAAATAATTGGAACGGAGAATGGAATCGTTTTTGTTTTATTTTATAAAATAACTTTAATTGAATTTACTTATTTAAAAAATCAAACAAGTAAATATGTTGGAGAAAAGTTAGAAAATTGAAATGATAAAAAAACGTATTAAGTGTACATTACCTAAAATCCGAGAGGACAATTGTGAACACTCTTATATGTATCCCTTCCAATCTGTTTTTTCAATCTCTTATATGCATATATGTTTTACAAACACACTGTACCTCTGATTTAATCTGCTTTCCCTCAATTATGTCAAGGACATTTCCCAGCGATGTTAAATATTCTTCTGTAGCACTGTCTTAGTCAGGCTGGCCCACGCTAGGTTCCAGTAACAACGAGGCCCCTGCAGCTCAGTGGCTCAGAGCAGCAGACGTCTGCCTCTCCCGCGTGCGAAGACCATGCGGGCGGTGGGGCCTCTTCTCTTTCCGGGGGCCGGGGATCCTGGCTTTGCCTGTCTTCTGAGGCTGCTGCCTCAATACATGGCTTCCAAAGTTGGGGTGCAGGGGCAGAGAAGGACTCGTAACCACCTTAGCCCAGAAGGGCCCCAGCCACACTGTGTGATGTTAAAGTGCTGATTTTCCGGTACCTTCTCCAACACTTACTATATCTGAAAACACCTGCCCATTTGAGAGGCCAGAATGGTGTCACGCTCTCTCATGCTTAGAGATGGCACCGGGGTTTACGCTGGATGGACGTCTTAAAATGTCAAATGAGGTGCGATCAAGCATAAGGGAGGAAAAGGGGTAATGGATTTAAGACTAATAGGATGTTAACTAGAAACAAATTCTATTTTTAAAGTGCAGCCCTCCGGAATTCATGATTTCAAGGGGAGCTCTGTGCTCAAAGCCACAGCCCGGGGTTGTCGGGCACGGCCAGAGGACGACCGCAACAGACACGATTTCTGCCTCATTTTAAATTTACGGTCTCTGAATGCTCTGCGGTAAAATCTGAATACCCGTGAGCTGTGCGGGCTCCGGCGGGCTGTGACACACGCTGACAGAACAGATGGAGTAGCTACTACCCGACAGACCGCAGGCCAGACCCACAGGTCTCCAGGGGCCTCATGCGCCTGGCTGGCTGCCGTCAGGCGCCCCCGGGGCCGCAACAAGTTCCTAACACTGGCCTCGGTGCTCTGTTTCCGGCTCGTTAGCATCTCTGTGTGTGTCCGTACACTGAGGGCACTCTGCAGCCCACCGATACTTGTGCAGGAAGGAGGGAGGGTGCAGGTGGAGACAGCGGCCCTGTGTCTGGGGCTGGGGGCCTCCCCCTGTGAGTGTGTCTCACAATGAGGACAGTCAGCCTAGGGGACTCGTGCACGGGGCTCTGAGCACCAGGTGTGGAGCTGGCTAAAGGACACGGGGTATGGGGACCCTGCCCTCTCGAGCGACAGCTCTGTCCGCCAAAGCATCTGCCTGGACCCAGGATGAGGGCAGAGGGCCTGGGAGGAGAAGGGAGGCTCCAGGCACGTCCGGTAGACCAGAGGTGGTTTGGAGTGTTGGGACCCTAGCAGGTCCCCACCCTTTATGGAGAACAGAGGGAGAGCTGGCACCACCGTCTGAGGGACGCTGGGGGGCTGAGCCCCTCGTCACTGAGTGCAGCGCCATGATGGGGAAAGGGCAGTCAGACACCTTCGAGTATGGAGTCAGGATTCGGCGGTGGGGGGCTTGGGGCAGCTAGGACCAGGGCTCCCAGGGTGGCCCCAGTCCTGGGTCTAAGTGTGGAAGCCTGGAGCTGGACGCCTGGTGGCTGGGCCGGCCTAGGCACCCTACCCGTCTGTGGTCACCGCCGACCTGGAAGTGGTGGTGCCGTCACGACCTCCTCATCAGCTCGTCTGAGGACACGGCCTGGCCATGAGCTCTCACTCCATTTGAAATTTTAGGAAGTCCATCCAGTGTCAACCCTGGTGCCATCTCCAATCATGAGAGACTGGCACACTGCTCCTGCACCTCAACCAGATGGAGATTTTGTATTTGGAGGGTCGGCGGGTGGGCGTGGTGCTGGTTCTGTAGGATTCCTGAGCAAGCGCTGTTCTCACGGTTCTCCCTCCCTGTGTGTCCCCAGGACCAGGCCGTGGTGCTGGGCCTGATTGACACCATCGACACAGTGATGGGCCACATATCTGCCAACCTGCATGCCCGCGAGCGCCAGGTCACCATCGCTGGCTCTTCCTCCATGGCAGGTAGCTGGCATCGGCGGGGGTCGGACAAACCATGGGGAGCATCAGTGAACCCCACGTCCACAGCAGCCCCTTGCTCTCCCTCATACACACAAACACACTCATGTGTCTCCGTGTCTCCGTCATCTTCCTGTAAGACAAGGCCTTACATTCTGGGACAACCCACGTGTCCTTCAACAGATGGTGGATAAGCAAAATGTGTATATGCCTAATAGAATTCTTCTCAGCCGTAAAGAGAAATGAAGCCCCGATGCATGCCACAGCATGGGTGAACCTTGAAAACGCCGTGCTGGGCAAGATCAGTTAGTTGCAAAAGCACAAACACTCAATGATCCCACTTATGTGAAATATCTAGAATAGGCAAGTGTTTGCAGACCAAAGTTTACCAGTGGTTATGAGGGGCTGGGGGAGGGAGGGAGGCCTTGGGGAGGCCTTGCTTAGGGGCCCTGAGTTTCTGCTAAGGGTGATGGAAAATTTTCAGGAATAGCAGTGAGTGTGATTAGTCACTGAATTGCACACTTAAAAATGGTGAAAACAGCAGGCTTTTTGTGGTATGTATTTTGCTGCAATAAAATTACACTCTGGAGGAAAACAGGTGGTCAGGCTCAGGGCAGGAGCACTTGGGACCGCATGAGCGTTTTGGCGTGACTTGGAAGCCAAGTCCAGACTGTGGACAGTCACCCCAGTTCAGGAAGGAGTTGGGGGCTGCAGCTTCTGCGAGTGTCTGCAGGAAAAGGCAGACTCTTGTTGCAGAAGACTCAGTGGGACTCCTGGGGCCTAATCTGCTCTTCCGAGGCCATCGTTGCACAGTCCCTACACCAAAAACAAGCCAGTTGCCGTCGAGTTGACTCCAACTTGTGGCGACCCTGGTGTGTCGGAGTAGAGCTGTGCTCCACAGGGTTTCCAAAGGCTGATTTTTTGGAAAGTAGGTTTCCAGGCTCTTTCCCCAAGGAGTGGACTTGAACCTCCAACCTTTTGGTTGGCAGCTGAGCTAGTTAGTTAACCGTTTGTGCCACTCAGGGAGCTGTGCAGGTGTGGACACAGCCTTTGTCTAGAAGGTGGCGTGAGGCCAGTCCTGCTCTGCTGGGCTAGCTGGGGACACAGGCTTAGCTGACCCACGGGAGTGAGCGTCAGTGCCCCCGGCCCCATTGCCCCAGGCAGCAGTGCTCGTGCCCAGTGACTGTAGGGCCGAGGAGTGTCAGTGTCTATATGGAGCTGGTGGAGCAGGAGCCCTGAGCGATGGTGTGACTGCCTGATGATCATGGTGGGGGACTGGAGGGCTGTGGTGGAGGGTTCCTGGGCTGAGAGCCCCCTGGTGTGGGCTGCAGGCTCACGGCCAGCCCAGTTACTTCCTGGACCATTCTGGCATGGGGTTGTCACTTTCTGAGGTGGTTGAGATCTTCAGGAGCTTGTTCTGGGAGTGAGAAGAGCAGAGGGGTCTCACAGTCAGTGTCCCTCTGTGGCCATGGGGCTCACTGACTGGCCCCCTCTTCTTGCTCCTACAGAGTACTCAGTGGCCAAGGTCCTCCCCGGGACCATGAACACCTCCCACTACCGCTTCCCGGCCCAGGGGCATAGCTACCTCCAGATCCCTCACGAGGCCTTCCACAGTCAAGGTGAGCAGGTGGAAACTTCCAGAGGGGCTGCCCTGGCTTGCTCCACCCCAAGCACCCTGAGCGGTGAGGTCTGTTGGCCCAGGTGCTGGCACAGGCCCTTCACCTGTGCCTGTGGGAGTGTCTCTAGCGCACCACCCCCAATGCCTACGAACAGAACTGAGGCCCAGCTGGGTCTACTGAACCAGAATTTGGGGTCGGGGCTGGGACTCTGCATGTAACATGCTCCCTAGGGGATTCTCGTCCACCATGAAGCATTTCCTGTTCCCCCACATCTGCATGGCTCCTTAGGAATTGAGCAGAAATACAGGTGGCCGTCTGCTCCCTCCTGGGGCACAGCATGCTGGGTGGGGGCTGGGGCCTGAGGGACACACGGCGTTGCTGGTTGCTGGGTGGGGTGGGCTGGGTGGGGATGGGCGGGGACTGACGCGTCTCTCCCCAGCCTGGACCACCCTCGTGGGGCTCCTCTACCACACGGTGCACTTCTACCTGAACAACATCCACCCAGCTGACACCAAGTGAGTCCCCGGGTTACCCAGCACGGGGCGGGGTGGAGTGTGTGCTCGTGTGTGGTGACGGGAGGCTGTGACACCTCCCCCACCCTGCCCGCATGTGTCCTGTGCACACATGTCCTGTCCAGGAGCTCTCACCCCCGAGCTGGCGCTCATCACAGGACCAGGTGCGTCATAGCTCTTTGGAGAAGACCAGAACCAGCCCTGGGGGGCTCAGGGGGCTCAGGGGGCTGGGGCAGGCGGAGGTGGTAAGAACACAGCCCTGGGAGCCCCATCAGCCCCGCCTGCACCTAATGGTGTGGCCTGGACAAAGGACTCGCCTCCCTGAGCCTCAGTTTCCGCGTCTGCAAGGTGGGGTGGTGACAGCACTGCAGGGCTCTGTCGGCTCCAGGTGGAGAAGGCAGCAAGGGCAGGAGTCATCCAGGGGCCACACATACAAGGCCCTGTGTGTGGTGCCTCCTCACGTTTTGCGCCCAGGTGCCTCACTTGCCTCACCCTACCCTGGCCCTGAATATCAGTCCATCCCCACACCTCCACAACACAGGGCCTTAGGTATCAGGTAGGCTTGTGTGGGTGGCTTGTAAGTGACCAAAAACCCAACCGGAGGTGTGCTAAGCAAACGGGGAATATTTGGCGCACATAAGCTGAGAGGGCCACGGCACATGAGCTTCAGGAGCAGCTTGATCCAGGGTCCCGTTGATGTCACCGGGATCCACCTCTCAGCTCCACTTCCTCGGGTGGGCTCCCTTCTTGGTCACTCTCCCCCTGTGACCACGTCCTCGGGGCGGAGCTCCTGCAGAGAGAAGTGGGTGTCTTTGGGCCAGCGTCTCCACCCACATCCCTTGCATCTCGTTGGATGTGACTAGGCGCATGCTCACCCCTGAACATCACTGTGGCTGGAGAGGGGCAGAGCACGGGTTGGTGCAGATCTGGTACTGGGTTTACTCCGAGCTGAGAATGGGTTCCCACAAAGTGCATGGGCTGAAAGTGGGGGACAGGGTCACCTGGAGGGAAATCAAGATGCCTCTAGCAGGAAAAGAATGAACAGATATTGGGTGGCACAAGGACAGATGTCCACCACTCTGTCACATATCACGTCGTCTTGCAGTGGGGGAAATGAAAGTCCAGAGAGGGAAGTGACCTGCCCACGGCTGCACAGCTAATGCAGCAGAATTACTGAGATTCCGACGCAGCTTGTCTTGACTCTTTCTGCCCGTCCGCCCTGCTTCAGCCAGCTCACCTTCCTCCGCTAGGCTGTAGGCTCCCTGGGGTCAGGGTTTGTCTCACCTCTCTTGTGCTGGCACCCGGCAGGTACTGAATGATAGAATCCAAACCCAGAGAATTAAAATGCGGAACGCTACAACTTGTCCGCCGGTGCTGCACCGAGCCCTACGGAGGGCAGAGCTGCGCGTGGGGCTCAGAGTCCCATCCTAGAGTGATATCTGTCTCAGGGACGTCCCGGCCAATGTCCAGAATCAAACCCAGGCTCCAGATGAGTGCTCCCTTCTTCTTCCCGTTTCCTGACGATCTTCCCTTGATTTCCAAGGATTGCCGAGGCGGCGAAGCACAAAGACTGCCTAATGTCGGCCACCAGCCCCCTGATCTCCCTGGAAGTGTCCCCACCGCCGGCTCTCTCCCAGACCTTGTTGGGGTCTCCGCTGGTCACTGTCCACCTCCCGCACACACTGGTGAGTCACTGGCCTGGCTGCAGTTCTCTGCTGGGACTCTGCGTGGGTGGGATATTTGGTTGTCTGTGTGACTGTATACAGAGCTCAGATGCTGTTGGTGCTGGCCCAAAGGGGCATTTTTCTCTCCCTGGTTTCTTTCCTTTGTCTTTGTTATTGAACTCTAGTAGAAAGGCCCTTGGGGTCAGCCATGCAGCTCTCAAGCTGGGTCACAAGGCTTCTGAGGCCAGACTTTGCTTTCATGTGCGTACGCACCACTGCCGTGGGCATCTCCCTGACTTGGAATAAAGGCGCTTTGTGGAGGAGGTGGATGAATCGGCAGTCTCATTGATCTTGCATAATAGCCATTAGCAAGATGGAGAGATTTGTCCTGCCTGAGAGGAGCTCGCCTAAGTGCCGGGGACGTGCAGCACATGGGGCTGGTCAGCTTTGCGCTGAGAACCATGAGCTGTCTGTCTGAGCTGTCTGTCCCGGGGCATCCTAACTTCCCTGGCTCGGCCGCGTCGTCGCGTTGGTCTCCCCCAGTGGTGAGAACAGCTGAGCTACCGAAGGACTTGCTCTTTCCTTAAACGGGGGACGTTCTCACTGCCTGCCTCCTGAGATGCAGCCCTGATTCCGATCATAGTCCCCGCCGAACGGGGTGATTTATATGTTAATGAAACGTTTGTTGACTTGAAGTCTGTGATTTCTCAAGGTAACTGTTGAAGAACCCAGTACATTTTTGGTTGCTGGAAGTAATATGAAGACGTTTCTTGCCAGCGTTTTCTGTTCCGCTCTGCTGCCCCACCCCCGGTCCACCATCACCAAGTGAAGCCCTTCTGTGTGCAGGATGCTGGGCCAGGAGCCCCCGTTATCCCCTCTGCCCAGGATTACCTCCTCGTTCCGCACCTCCAAGGAGACCACCCTCTGGGGCGCTGAGTGAGGCGGAGGGGTCCAGGCTGGTCTCTCACTGTGGCCCTGGTCCCCTGCCCTCCTTCCCACAGTGTCTAGCCGATCCTCGTTCCTGTGGGCCCAGCTGCACCCGGCCATCCCACTGGGGGCTGGTGACAGCATCTGGAACTTCACCCAGCAGATCAGCCGGGTGGACACCAGCGATTCTCCTCCTCTCCTTCCTCCTCACCCCTCTCCACCCTCCCCTCAGGGAGAAAGGCACTCCTCTGCTTTTTCAGAGCTGACTCTCTGCCTGCCTCTTCTGCCTCCCTCCAGGTTCAGTCCCCTCTCACCTCCCGGTCTCTGCCCCCCGCTGTGTCCCTCCATCCCCTGCAGACAGTCACCACCCGAGAGGGCCCATCTCCCCCTGCCCCCTCGCACCCCCTCAGCCCCCCTCCCTTCACTTCTTCCAGCTCCTTAAAGTCGGCTTTTTCTGTCTCCACTTTCTCACCAACATCGTCAGATGTCAGGAATGTTCTCAAAGTCCCCAGAGACCCGAGGCTCGCCACTTCTTAGTCCCCGTCCGCGTTCATTGTGGACGGCCTTGGTGGCATTCGTCACTGTTGATGCCTCTGCCCCCAGCACTCCCCCCCCACTTCCAGGACACAGCACCTTCCCCCCACCGCCTCCATCTCTGACAGCCCCTCCCTCACCACGCCATCCTCTCTCGCCCCACAGGAGGTGCTAGGTTAGCTCCGTAACACCCAGGGAAGCCACAGTCTAACATTGCCTCCATGCAGGGGGCACTGATGGCTCTGTCCATCATAAGGAGTGACCACTGGAGAAAGCTAAAGTAGAAGAAGGTCAAGCCGAGGGCCAGTGAGAACAAGGAGACTCTCAGTGACATGGACGACCCAGTGGCTGCAGCCATGGACTAGAGCAGGCCGGGCCGTGTGTTGCTATGTTATCTGGTTAGATGACCCAGTGGCTGCAGCCATGGACTAGAGCAGGTCGGGCCGTGTGTTGCTATGTTATCTGGTTAGATGACCCAGTGGCCGCAGCCATGGACTAGAGCAGGCCGGGCCGTGTGTTGCTATGTTATCTGGTTAGACGACCCAGTGGCCGCAGCCATGGACTAGAGCAGGCCGGGCCGTGTGTTGCTATGTTATCTGGTTAGACGACCCAGTGGCCGCAGCCATGGACTCGAGCAGGCCGGGCCGTGTGTTGCTATGTTATCTGGTTAGACGACCCAGTGGCTGCAGCCATGGACTCGAGCAGGCCGGGCCGTGTGTTGCTGTGCTGTCTGGTTAGATTCGTTTGTGATTGCTGGTACTCCCTCCTGGGTGCCCTCCCCCCATACTGACTGGTTTTAATTATTTACTTATCTGGGAGTATGTGAGGCTCACTCCAGGAGCCTAAGGTGTCCTTGGAAGAGCGGCCCCACCTGTCTCCATCCTCCCTCTCTGCCCCCATTCTTCCCGCACACCTGCTCCAGAGACACAGTCCCACAAGATTCTGGCTTCTCTGTTCTGTATTTCTTTTGTGCCAAATAAGCAGATACGAGTATTTTCTTCCATCCTCTTCCTCCTCCCAGGAAGGGTAGCAAGCCTGCTGTAGAACTTCTTTTGCACTGTGCTTTTTTCCCACTGAACAGTGTGCCCTGGAAATCCCTCCCAACCCGTTCGTGGGGAATGGCCGCACTCCTGTTCTCGGCTGCCCAGAAGGACTTTCGCTCCACCGTGTGGTTTGCTCGGCCCTCCCCTGCGTGCAGGCGTTTTGCCATCGCGGTGCTGCAGGCATTGTTGGAGGCACGGCCTCAGGTCCGCGTGCCCCAGAAAGCTTGAATCTACTGGAAATGGACCCTCCCCCACGAGGCCTTCTTTCCCTCCTGTCTGTGGCCCTCCAGCAGAGCTAAGAGACAGCAGACTGACAGATGGGCAGGAGAAAAAGAAAAACATTAGTCCCAGTACATGCCGTAACTCTGAGAAGGAAAGCTCCCAGCTAGAGACAACCTTGGCGGGGCCTTGCTTCTGACCCTGCGTGTGAGTGTTTAATTCATTTCTGAAGCTAAAGCACGTGAGCTGTCAACCACAGATAATACAGGATACACCTTCAAGACTAGATTATCATCCAGACGGCCTCGGGGAGTCAGCCGCCCCAGAAGGACAGCAGGGGGGCAGGGACGAGGCAGTGCGGGACACAGGTGCAGGAGTCTGTGCTGGGCCAGCGGGCGGTGTCCTGCGTGAAGCGCAGGGACGGAGAGGCCAGCCTGGAGGGCCGAGGGCCTGGTGTGGGTGCCAGGTTCTGTCAAGTCGACGCTGGCTCACAGCAGCCCCGTGTGGATCAGAGCAGAACTGCTCTCCACAGGGGATTCAATGGCTGTGACCGTTTTCAGAAAGAGATTGCCAGGCCTTTGTTCCGAGGCACCTCCAGTTGGATTTGAACATCCAACCTTTCAGTTAGCAACCGAGTGTGTTCACTGTTTTCACTGCCCAGGTGTGAGCACCAGTTGTCAATTCACAAGCACCCTGGCCTCCCCTGAAGGAAGGTGGATGGTGGCTTCCAATGGCATTTGCAGCCAGGAGCCCTCACATGAGCCTGGTGCAGCAGCAGATGGAACGGATGGAGTATAGCTGTGCTTTCTGGAGACATTTTTCCTTGGAGGGAACCCTTCAGGCCTGCAGGCATGAGGAGCTCAGGAGAGAGAGTTCTGGAAGGCCTATATGCTTAAGAAGGCTCTGGGCGGGGCTTATCCCTGTGACATGCGTTTCACTGGCAGTTGACACCTGCTTGCCCATTGGGTGTGAGTGCAGGGAGAAGCTGGCCATCTAAAAACACATCCAGTTTTTTGATTAAACCAAAAGCTAAGAAGTTTCCTGAATACAACCAAACACTTTGAGGGACAGAGTAGCAGGGGTGGAGGTCTGGGGACCATGGTTTCAGGGGACGTCTAGGTCAATTGGCATAACAAAGTTTTTTTTAAGAAAATGTTCTGCATCCCACCTTGGTGAGTGGCGTCTGGGGTCTTAAAAGCTAGCAAGTAGCCATCTAAGATGCATCAGTTGGTCCCAACCACCTGGAGTAAAGGAGAATGAAGAACACCAAAGACACAAGGGAAGTATTAGCCCAAGAGACAGCAAGGGCCACATAAACCAGAGACTTCATCAGCCTGAGACCAGAAGAACTAGATGGTGCCCAGCTACCACCAACGACCGCCCTGACAGGGAACACAACAGAAAGTCCCTGATTGAGCAGGAGAAATGTGGGGTGCAGAACTCAAATTCTAGTAAAAAGACCAGACTTAATGGTCTGACTGAGACTGGAGGGACCCCGGAAGACGTGGCCCCCAGACTCTCTGTTAGCCCAAAACTAAAACCATTCCCGAAGCCAACTCTTCAGACAAACATTAGACTGGACTGTGGGACATAAAATGATACTCGTGAGGAGTGTGCTTCTTAGCTCAAGTAGATGCATGAGACGAAATGGGTGGCTCCTGTCCAGAGGTGAGATGAGAAGGCAGAGAGGTTAGGAGCTGGTTGAATGGACACGGGTAATCCAGGGTGGAAAGGAGGAGTGTGCGGCCACATTATAGGGAGAGCAACTAGGGTCACTTAAAATGTGTATATCAATTTTTGTATGAGAAAATGACTTGAACTGTAAACTTTCACTTAAAGCACAATTTTAAAAAAAAAACTAAAAACACATGCAGTTTGAATTACAGGCTCTGCTGGGCTTGGTGTTACTGATGGAAGTTTGGAAGGAGTCCACATGTTTGCTTCTGTGCAGAAAGAAAGGTGCCAGTTTGGAATCCCAAGAAAAGGAAAGGGTGGCTGAAAGGCGAGCCCCGTTTCGGTGGTTGGTCACTGCGGTTATTTTTGAAAGAGAGTTTGGGAGGAGGACTGGTGTCTGCAGGAGAGGCAGAGAGGGATTTTTATCATACCAAAGGAGCATGGTAATTAGAGCCTGTCCTAGCCAGGCGTTCTCTAGGGTTTTTGGGGTTTTTCTTTTGAAAGTTGCGTTTACATTTCTGAGGACGTTTTTGGAGATGGGCTTTTCTGACTTAAAATGATCTGTCTAATGGGAAATATTTTCTGTGGAGGCCCTGCTGGCACTGTATGAGCATGGAGGGGTGG